CAATCACAGTCTAAAATATCTCTACATTGAACTCAGCTTCTTACTGTTACCCAAATTTTTAACAATTTGCGTTATTACTAATTTTAAGCATAAGCTATCTGGAATTTCCTAGTCCCATATTTGCTTTGTATATAATCAATCCATTTTTTCCAGTCTCGTTTATACCTCTCATTTGAATGTTCTTTAAGATATGCTGAAATTTTTGCCATTTCGGCTAAGTTTGTAACCTTTAAAGTCCATTCTTGAATTGTAGTTGTCCCAGTTTCTGATAACCTAACAGCTCAAAAGCATGTAAAAAAAATAGGGACCACCTTTGGTGGGAAGGTAACAGCATTCCGTGCGCCTTCGACATTTAGTCATTCCAGCCACATGACCACAGAGACATCTTCAGATAGTGCTGGCCCTTCAGCTTTGAAACAGAGATGAGCATCGCCCCTTAGAGTTGGGAATAACTAGCTCATACGTGCGAGGGGAACCTTTATCTTTACTAACTGTGAGAGGGAAGGATATGCTTACTGCTCACCTTCTCAGCAGAAGAAATTACAACAATATTTGTGGCTGGCTCCAGGGTTGAGTTTTTTCTCACTCACTAGATTCACTGGCTTCCCTCTCTTTTGCTTTACATATTTATGTATTTGTTTGCTAATTTAAATTTCTCTCCTGTCTTTTCATTAACAGGACAATCCAAACTGGAGCACATTCATGAAAAATAAGGAACAATGAGTTAAAAAAACAAGGTCCAAAATGACAATTCTGACAAACTTTTATTCCCCCCTCCCCCTCGAGCTCTGAAACGTTGGGCAACAATGCCAGAGCAGCACAGAGGAGCCAGTTTAACCCAAGCACAGATAAACAGCTGCATCTGAAACTGATCCCCGGAAACTTCGAGGGTTTGGCCCCAGCCCCAGCTCAATAGGGGGAGACTTGGCAAGCTGGAGTCCTGAGAATGCCCCCTCTTGGCTCGCTGCATCCCAGATCCCTGGCTGATGTGGCACCTCCAAGAAGAACATCCTGACTTGAACTTGGCTGAAGGGCAGCTCAGCTGGCGGAGTGGCTCTCTCTTCTCAAGGCTCCTGGGGAACTTACTTCCCAGAACCCTGCAAGGCCTTGGGTTTTTGTAAAAACAAACAACATTCCTGTTCTCAGCAACAGCAGTTTTCCTCCGCATTGCCCTGGAAGTCAACCCAAATCAGCATGGAAGAATATGCAAAACGAAAACCACATGCTTTTGCAGCAGAAGTAGCAGCAGTATGGGGTGTTTTTTTCCCCTTCAAATTCATTCCTCAGCTTCTGAGACACCACTAGGAAAAACAATTAAGAGCCAGCAGAATGTTCTTTTAAAACAAGGGTGAACAAGCACTTTGAAGGGATTCCACCCCCTTTAAAATGTGTTTTTTTTAATCCCCAAGGTATCTAAAATGAGAACATTTACAGCCCTTTGCTGAAGTGGGGGAGCAGAACACATGGTAGTGGGTTTTTTTAAAATACTCAAAAAAACAGAGCTTCACTTTCCTATTTTACTGCCTGTCCGAAAGGTGCTTTTCCAAAAAGGCAAGTGGATTTTCTTGGGGTTTTTTTTTCCTTGAAAATGTTTTGCTTCACATCCAAGAAGCTTCTTCAGTTCTGAAGAAATTCAGAACTGTCACAGTTTGTCAGTTTCTGACAATCAGAAATTCAGTTACACAGAAAGTCCAGTTGCCTTTTGGAAAAGACGTTTTGGCATAACCATGACATGGACAATTAAGAATCTCTACAGATATTTTACTGCTCGTTTTCTTTTTCTAAAAGCAGAAAATCATACTGTGGGATTAGGTTTGTCAGATTTCAGCAGGGCAGAGAGGCTGTTAAACAGAACCTGGTCACATGCAGCCCACTGGCTACTTCACAATCCACACTTTAAAAACAACTCGCAAAAAAAAATTGGCTTTAAGCAGATACCGTAGTGTAGGGACTCCGCCTGGGGCATTCAAGTAGTCCCAGCCACTGTGTAGGACTAAACTCAGTATCACCACACAGTAGTTAGTTAATGTGAAACTCTTTGAATTCTGTGATTTTCAAGGAACGTATAGAATATTTTGGGAATGTAGAAAACTTTCTGCAATGTGATTAGCGTATCTGTCCAACTAATTTACTACTTTACCCTATTAAACTCTTCATTATAGGAAACTTTAACCAAAGAAATATGTTGCTTGCAATCCATGTGCTTTATGTCCAAGCTATGTTTTATCCCTAACTCAGAGCAAGGACAGTAGTTCAGCTTTCCCCAATTTAGCATCCTCTAGATATTCTGTCTTTCTGACTTTTAACTCCCATCTGCCTTGACCAAAGTGGCTTAGGCTAATGGGAGTTGTCATTAACACAACAGGCATCAAGTTGTAGATGGGTATCAGAGACTAGTCATTTCCAGGATAGCAATAGCACTTAAGATTTATATACCGCTTCACAGTGCTTTACAGCCCTCTCTAAGCAGTTTACAGACTCAGCATATTGCCGTCAACCATCTGGGTCCTCATTTTGCCAACTCTTGGAAGAATGGAAGGCTGAGTCAACCTTGAGCCAATCAGGATTGAACTGCTGCACTGCTGGCAGCCAACAGCAGAAGTAGCCTGCAGTACTGCATTCCAATCACTGCACCACCCTGATATTTTCAAATATAGCAGGCACTATGTTCTGTAGCAGGAATAAGTATCTTTCAGATGTTTTCATCCACAACAATCAGATTATTGATTATGGTGACCAGAGTTTTGAGACATTTGTAGTCAAAGTTAGGTGGAGAATGTCAACTTGCCCCTCTTTGTGTGAGGGCTTCTAAAAGAGAATCAGTGTGTATGGGTTGGGGGAAATGAGAACAACCCCTAAATCAAACAGGCTTACCCCACATGTCTCTTCTCCAGAGATGGTGACCCTCTGGAACTCTCTATCCAAAAATACATCTCGATCTTTTGGAAGGTAATCTACTAGGTCTTCACCCTGTTCTTTAAATAATCTGGGGGGAAAAGAAAGGGGAAAAGAGGGGGAATGAAGGAACCACCATGAGGAATAGTCTCCGATCAATTCTGTCAGTCTACAGGAGTCCCATTTTCCAGCAGGCATGTGAAGACACAAAATTGAACACACAAACACGGGCAACACAGGGCCTTTCAGGCGTATCCTCCAATGGCAGCACTCTGAACTATGGAAAGGGGTGAGGAACATCAGTGGGCAACAAATACATACAGCAGAACTGGTAGGAAAATGTTCCTGAGCCCCAAATTTCTATACTGGACAATCAAACATTTGGGTTAAACAGGGGTTTTCAAACTTTTTCAGGCTGCAAAAAGTCTTAGGTTAAAAAAAAATCCTGGAATCCATAATCAGAAGGCAAACCTCTACCGATTAAAAAATTGACTATGCTTAAATAATTCTTTCTTTCTTCCTTCCTTCCTTCCGTCCTTTTCTTTTTCTTCTCCATGATTCTATCAAACACAGTTTGGGGGGAAAAAAGCCTGTTGTAGAGTATCAGAAGAATAGATTTCCCAGGGCAATGACTTGTCCTGGCAAAACTGAAGGAGCTGCTCATCTGCCTAAAACAATGAGAAACATCCTACTTGGCTGAGCTTCTGGGTTCACTAGGATCCAAGCTGCTCAGTCAACCAATGTACAATGAAAGAGGGACGGGAAAAAGGCAAATATAAAACAGAGACAAACAGCTCTATCCACTATTCCTGCCTTGAAAATAATTGCTTTAAGAAGGACAGGGAGGGAAACAGAGCTCAGAAAAGGAACAAGGGAAAACAACCAATAGTATGACATGAGGAATCCCCCACTCAATGGTGTTGAGATTTGTGGGACTGGAAGATGCAAAAAATAAAACGAGGTTTGGTTTAGTCCAATAATATTTGGCCTGGTCCAAAATAAAATGGTTCCCCTATTTTTTCAACCTTAGATAAGCTTTTTTTTCTCAGAAGAGTTTGCTTAAGTGACACACACAGATAAGCATATCAATAAGACAGCTGACTTTAGCCTTTTCTTTCCAGAGGTACCTTTGTTCTAACATACCAAACTTTTCTTGGAGGACAAATTCACTTCTGGGAGTAACTCCACTTCCATTCTGAACTCTGGTTCTATCTGACTATTCAGAATCCTCCCAATGTTGTTACTCAGCCTTTCCCCAGCCTGGTCCCCGTTAGGCATTCCATCATCAACCCAAAACAGCAGGGGAGCAACATGTTGGGAAGAAGTACCTTAACTTAATGTGGATTAAGGTTTTCTTCACAATCTGTGGAATTGATTTTAATGGCAACACCCCCAGCAGTGGTACAATTGCATGTGGGATACAATGTATGCAGGGGGACAGAACTTTGCAAAAGAGAAGGTCACTCACTCTGGATCAGTCAGGGTGGGAATAAGGAGAAGAGTCAGCCTGCGGGAAAGTCCCGCGCCCCCCCTGAGTCAAGGGCCAAGAGAATTAAGGCCAGGCACTCACTGTAGGTCGGCAGCACTGTCAATTTTCAGGAAGTCCTGTTTGGCTCTGAGTAAAATTTCTGGTTCTAGTCTGAGGACAAATGGGAAGTGGAGGCCAAGGCCAAGAAAAGGACAAACAGTCAGAGAGAGGAGGAAGAAAGAGGAAATGGTAAAGAAGATGAGGAGAAAAAGAAAAACACTAGCATTAATGCAGAAACCAATATCAGAAATGACAGACTCTATACAGGAATATACTAGCAATGGGATCCAAAAGAGAATGAATGTCCGGGTAACATACCATGACTAAGCTATGGTTTGGCTATTATAGGAAAAGCACGGCTGGTTCCCACATCATCTTTTCCCTTTGAATTTCCTTCCCTCTTTCCCACCTTCTTGACTACCAGTAGCCAGTTTGTTTTCCAAACCACTCCTAAACCCTCTACCCAAGCCCCTTTCGCCTTAAGAGATATCGGCAGACAAATAGCTCAACTACTTTTTCTTCACTGGAACAAATCTCATTGCACAAGTATAATGCCTCTTTCCAACTGTAGATCAAAGACGTTTGGGGTTGTGGGAATATTTTCACTGGAAGAAAAGGAATCTGTTATCTCCAATATTGCCCTGGTTAAAGGAAGTCCTATAGTCGTGATGGCGAACCTGTGGCACGCATGTCAGAGGGGACGCGCAGAGCCCTCTCTGTGGGCACATGCGCCATCACCAGCTGGTCTTCTGGGTTCTGGCATGCATGTGCACACCGCCCAGCCAGTCTTCGCATATGCGTGTGTCATAACCCAGAAGAGAGCAGCTGGCTGGTGCGCATGCATGCACCAGCCAGCTGGTCTTCTGGTCTTTGCGTGAAGACCAGTTGGCTGCCGCGCATGCACACGCTGTAACCCGGAAGACCAGCTGGCTGCCACATGCATGTGCACTGGCCAGCTGCCCTCTTTCAGGTTCTAGGGGTCCGGCATGTGCACGTTCCAGTTTTGGCACTTGGTGCTGAAAAGGTCAGCCATCATTGTCCTATAGTCTCCTTCAGAAGATATTTTCCTGGATCTCTATTTATTTTGCTACATTGCCACAACATTTCCCCAAGGGGCACTTTTGGGAGTTGAAAAACTGGGCTTCTAAATATGGTGGGAATGAAGACCCCCCCCCCCCCACTGAGTAGACTGCCTCCTATCTGTTCAACAGAACTCACATGCATGGATCTCTGCAGCAAACCAGGTTCTGCCTATTGTTTTCCTTCTGCCTAAGTTTTTCATTCCAATTCCATTCTTTCTGTCTCCCTTCTGCAATCCCCTCTTCCTTCTTCAGAGCAGCACAAGTGCACCACTAATTGCCAGGCATCGGGCAGGTAAATAGGCAGCTGGTAGCTTCCATTTCTTCTGCCAAAGCACTGGGAGTCCCCCTCATGCTGGTGCCCTGTCTTGAACCACTGAAGAAATAATTCAGACTTTGCAGCCCTTCCCAAGTGAGGTTTCTGGTTAGAAGTAAACATTTGCAGAATCCTAATGGCCAAATGTGCCATTATTCCACCATACTGTTTCCTCTCCCATCTTCTGCTCTCTAAAGAACTATAGAGAGGAACAGCAAGAAGGCAAGAGATAAAACCCAGATATTTCCCACCTGATGTGAGGTTGCTGATTGCTAAGGAAACTTGCCAGTGACAATCTAACAGTAAGAAAACTGTGTGCAGGACAAGCAAAGTGTAAAAATATCAGCCACACACATATATGCACATAAACACGCAGTCATGCCACTGACAGATGACTGTATGAATGCTTCTCTTGACATGATGGTTACTATCACTGCAGAAGTAGAAGCAATGAAATGACGTTCCCGGATATTTCCAAAGTCTCTACCATGCTTTTTCTAGACTGTAAATAAAAGTTACCTCCATTTGATTTCTTCCCATCTTTCCCAGTTTCAAATACTCTTACTCATTCCGTTTTCTTCCTCCCCCCCCCCCAAGACTCAGGTGAAATGTTCCATCCTGCTCTTGAAATATTGAAAGGTGTTAGGAGAAGCTAGGGAAAGTCCAAAAAGCATTGGCAACTTACTTCACATCCTGGCTTATCTGCCGCTCCAAACGTTGGCGCCTCTCTTCCAACTGTTCGATGGGGCTGTCCTCTGGGAATTCATAGGGAGCACTGCGCATTTCACTCTCAGCCAATGAGTGACAAAACAACTCCTGCAAGCATAGCAGCAGAATGCTACTGGAATAGCCAAGTGTGCATGCAACTTGAATGAAGGTCTTAAACTTTCTATGAGGTTACCGTATTTTTTGAACTATAAGACACACCATGATTTTGAAGAGGTAAATTAAAAAAAAAGTTTTTGCACTCTACAAACCTCCCAAACCCTCTGCACACCTCATTTTTTTGAAAAAAAAAAGAGGGGAGCATGCAGAGCTTTGGGAGGCTTGTAGAGTGCTCCTGGGGGCTGGGGGGGGGGACAAGCAAAATTGGTCCCTTTTTTTGCTCATTTTTGCCCTCCCCAGTCCCCAGGAGCACTTTGCAAGCCTCCCAAACCCTGCACATCCGTTTTTGCAAAGGAGGCAGGGTTTCGGTAGGCCAAAAATGCTGTATTCAGTGTATAAGATGCACCCAGATTTTCACTCTTTTTTGAGGAAGAAAGGTGTGTCTTATATTCTGAAAAATATGGTAGATAGGATGGGCATGCTTCTAGTCCCTTCCCTTAAAAACTGCCACCTTACGGGAACCAAAAAGCATGCCTTTTCTGTGGCAGCCTCTGCCCTATGAAACACTCCCCCCCCCAAAGTTACAATACAATACAATAGCAGAGTTGGAAGGGACCTTGGAGATCTTCTAGTTCAACCCCCTGCCTAGGCAGGAAACACTATACCGTTTCAGACAAATGGCTATCCAACATTTTCTTAAAGACTTCCAGTGTTGGGGCTTTTACAACTTCAATTTCAGCAGGCCTCTATCCTCCCAGCCTTCCAACAAGCACTGAAGTTCTGGCTTTCCACCCCATGTGCTGGGATAGGATGAGGTGGCAGCAAGTTAGAAGCTTGACTTGGCACCAGTTGTTTTTTTTTTTTAGTATTTGTGTTTTTAATAGTTTAATATGTTTTTTTTTATGTGGTTTTAATTCTTGATTTGGAGTCACTCAGAGTTTGGTATGAGATGGGCAGCCACAGATAGTCCTTGAGTTACGACCATAATGGAACCAGTTTATTACAGTTGTTAAGTCGGGATGGTCACAGATCAGGTCACCCGTGTGACTGGCCTGATTTTATGATCTTTTTTGTGGTATGTGTTAAGCAAATGCCATGGTTGTTAAATGAGACAATGATTTGCTATAGAGCAGTTTTGCCAAAACCCAGAAGTAAATGCTGGCTTTCGGCAAAATGGTTGTAAAATGCGGTCACGTGACTATGGGAAGTTTAAACCATTTGCTGAGCACCCAAAATGAAGTCAGGTGACTGACGAGGGTGGTCAGAATTTCAAAATTGGGTTGTAACTAACTTTGGGGGGAGTTGTCATCCCTTCGAAAAGTCATTAAGCAATCAGTCATAGGTCAAGGAGTACCTGTATATAAATGTTTTAAATAAATAAGAGAAGCAAATCTCTGTTATCCATAAGAAACAACAACCTGAGGAGTCCATTAAAAGCTGTTCTGGGACAATCTGCCAGGACTAGAATCTCATGCCAACATCAGTGAAAGTAGCTCTGCTCAGTGGATTAGAAAACTATAACATGATGTACTCCTGATTAGGATAGTAATTTACATTGAGGTCATAACCGCAGTAATTTAAAAGTGTTCCAGTGACGGCTGTTGAATGAATCTTATAACTGCTGCTTCTCATTGTCCAGGTCATCAAAGAACACATCAATGATTAATAAACTCAAGGCCACACCCAGGAGCAGGCCTTCTCCACTATGCTTTAGACACACTGATCTGTCAACATCAAGGAACTGCCACTGCCAAGTAAACAAGCTCTTACTTGCTTCCTATGAAAATAAGACAGAAGCATATCCTAACACAGCGTTTCTCAGTCTTCACGACTTAAAAGATATGTGGACTTCAGCTCCCAGAATTCCCCAGCCAGCATATGCTAACATTTCCTTCCCTCCACCAAGATGTGAAGTCTGAGAAACACAACAGTGTAGTGTATGGTGCCTTTCCAACTTGTCAAAAACAACAACCAGGCTGCTTAGTGATGGGCAGTTCTGGGTGTCCCAGTTGCTGTGTGTCCTAAACGATGATGGCACGGCTCATTGAATGAGGTTCATGATGGGACTTGCAAATTCTTGCCAGCTTTCCCTTGTCAGAAGCCAAAAGGGAAGTTCACAAATTGCAATCATGTGACCTCAGGATGCTGAGATTTTGTAATTGTGAGTCAGGTAACAGCCATAACTAAAATAACCAGTCTTAATTACTATTCCTTCAACACCACTGTAAATTCATTGAATGAGTGGTTGTTAAATGGGGACCACCTGTTTTAGATTACAATCCTACCACCTCCAGTGATAGTGACCAGTGCATACTTTGGAGAGTTCAAAGTAAAAGGTGAACAGGCAAAAATCACTGTTCTGCTTTTATTTCTGGGATCCAAAAATAAGTTGCTTCAAGAGCAATTCTTCACTAAGAAACTTTAAATCAATTTTCTCCAGTCAACCCTTCTCTCCTATAAATGCTAGAGAATCACACGGATTCAAAAGAAATTTCTCAAAATAGCATTTACAAATGGTCTTTTTTTAAAATATTAAGAACAATCCAAGAAAAATTGCATGATTTTTACATGTTCATTTCACAGCCCTCGTTCTACAGTGAACGGTGCATACACATACACAGACACAACTAGTGAGGAATAAGCAACCTACCTCAGCAAGCTCTTTGTACTTGCCATCCATGGAGGTCCGTAGGTCAACGGGAAAATGCTTCAGGCAGTGGGAAGGTCCTGGGAGAGAACGTGCAGGTTGCAACTGCCGGGACCTCGGCCCTCCGTGAATCTCTGTGGATGCAAGGAAGACAGCAATCAGGCAGACAGGAAAAGCTACTAGGCCTGAGAAGCAGGAGGAACTAGAGAGATATTAATAACATCTTCTCTCTCCTTAGACCATACATAAATTTGCAGTACTAGACCTCAGTTTACTCAGACTCATCGGCAGATCTTGGACGTCAGCAGACTTTCATTGAATTAATGGTATTGCAAGACAATTAGCTTTTTCATAATACCGCCCCAGTCCAGTTGGCATATTTAAGGGAAGGTGACTTTAGCTTACTGAAGTTGTATCACACATATCATACATACCCCTCTGCTAACCAATTCAATGTCCTCCCATAATAGCCTTAGAAATCAGTTCAGAACTGCTAACTATGTCGACTAGGGTGTGAGAGCATTCCATAATGTATTTTAGAAATGCCCAGCATTAGTTCCTTCAGCTCCCCCTCTTTACAAGAGAAACAGACTTGTTCTTTGTGAATAGTTTTCAAAAATTATTTCTAGCTTCATATTTTGAAAAATATGCCGCTAGGACGCATGTCCCAGGTCCGCTAGAGGTCTGATACTAAAGACAATTTTAGTATTCAAACTGGTTAGGAGGGACCTGGGTCTACTAACAAATATATATTAAAACAAATATGAACATTTGTGTGAAGCATGCTTGGTTTTATTTTCATTTCTGGCTTCATATTGCTCAATGCAGGAACCCATGCCAAATTTGCTTGTTACAGATTGAGTCCACATTAAAAATAAGAAATAGCTTCCTAAAAAAAAGTGGAGTTCTTAATGTTCTCTGAGTTTAATTGTTTGCTTGCAAATGTTTCATCACATGACTAAAGAACACCATCAGTGCTACTCAGTGCGGAGTTTGCTCCCTGTTTATATATAGTAGTTTTCCCTGCCAGTATTGGTAGGGGTATGGTTGTCTGGAAGTTCCTTGATTCGGGTATTGTTTTCTGCTTGATTATCTGGTGTTAATCCTTGCTTATCTGGGCATACGCTTCTGGAGAGGATGTGTTCTGCTCTTTTTGTTTCCTGCTTATATTTTGATTGACTATGTGCCTATTGATGGTTGATTTGTCTGAATGTCAAGCTTCCAGGAATTTCTTAACACTTTGGATTTAGCTTGGTCTAGAATGCTCATAGTTTCCCAGCTGAAATTATTGTTGATTGTCCATGTGTTGTATGATCAAGGAGCTTTCATTGTATCCTCTGACTGTGAGTGAGTTCTTACTCTGCATGTTGTAGATGACTGCTGATTTTTCTTCTTGGGGTCCTTTGGTTTACTTAACTTGTTTTGGAGGGCTTTTATTGGTTTGTGTACTATGGTGATGCCATGTGTTGTAATAATCTCTGACTTCTGAGTTGCTTTTGATAAGTGGTAGTGTTGTCCTTTACGTAGCCTGTGTGGTGGTGCTTTAGTGAATTAACTGATCAGGCACTTTTTGATAAAGTTAGCAGTCTATTTTCTTTTTCTGGCATTCTGGGTTGCCATGATGCATTTACAGTATATTCAGGGTAGTGTGTTGTTGTTATTTTTTCTTCTCTTGTGAATTTTATTCCAAGATACTGTTGATTGTTTTCATGTGTCTTCTTTAATTGTTCCATCTTTATCATGATGTTAAGCTGTCGTCTACCTTCTGGATTTATACTTTTGGTTGTATGAATGGCAGTGCTATAATTTCTAGATGCCGGGTTACACTCTTTTCTATGAGTCTTGAGAACCCACAGGTGGTATTCTAATTTGTTGATATATGTGTCCATCAAACTGAAAGCACTGAGGCAGAGGTTGATGGAACCATGATTTTGGGTTTTGAATCTTAGTGTATTGGCTAGGTCTGGCATGCTGGGTAATACTGTTGCTATGGATTCTTTCACGAATTTTGGATGTATGAACATAAAGAGTACTGTGACTTTGAATGAATCCATAATTTCATCTTCATCAATGTTTAGGTCTTTGTTTTCTGGATGCACTATATTTTCTGAAGGCACTTTTTTTATTTTTTGAAGGCAATAAATAAATAACCAAGTTCAGAGATCACAAGGACTCCACAGTTCAATCCTGAGCTACTTATATTCTCTTCTATTGGTCCTAAAAGAAGTGCTATCTGTCTCCAGATCAGATTTGTCCATCTGTCCCTAAGGGCCCATCATTAGAAATAAAATGAGCTCCAGAATCAAATGACAGCTGTCAATGTGTATATCTCTCTCTCTCCACGAGCCTGTCAACATTTGAAAAGCATCTTCATACCAACTTTCCCTGTTGGGTGCTGCAGCACTCAGATACCAGAGAGAAAGCCCCAGATTTCTAACCTTTACATTTTATGTAAGCTGGAAATCCCCCTCCTAATAATGAAAACAGCCTTCCTTCCGCATAGTTCTTCCACATGAAAGAACCTCATTTCTTTCACCATATGAACATGCACTATTTTTGTAGATAGCATAAAAAGCATACACCTCACCTTTTCAACCCAGCTGCTATTCCTCCTCCCCAGGTAGGAAACTAAAGAAATGGACTGGCCTTAGATAATAGTGAATGATCAAAGCCAAGAAGTTATTTCACGTCTTCTCCCCAATGGAAACCCAGGCCATAGGGGTTTTTTTTGTTGTTGCTATCTTATTCCAAATATAGAGTTACCAAGACTGACTTCAAATGCAGAAAAAACAAATCATTAAATGGGCTTAGTGTTTATTGAAACACATACACTGAAGTGGCACTTTGTATCTGAATTTCCCTTGGGTATGCATGGGAAATGCCAAAGGTGAAATAAAAAGATCTGCAATCAGATATAGTAAGGGGACTTTTCATAGGATTTGGCCATCCAAATTTTAATGGGGAAAAACCATTGCTGCTTCTTCTCTCAAAGTAGAAAGTTCTAATGTCTGCCATGCTTGGTTAAGACATTAGCTTGGTGTTTCTCCATTTCAGTAACTTTTAAGTTGTCTGGACAGCAAAGCTCAGAATTTCACAATCATTTTGAGAGTCCTAAATTTGCTTAGGATATGTGGAACACTGGGTTAGTAGTAGAATTTTCTATCGGTCTTCTGGCAGTGATAAGGACAAGAGAATGCTATTGAAGGTGCCAGGCAAGAGAAACAGGCCTTTTTAAAAATTATTTTCCATCACTTTCAATATAGTACACAACCGCCTCTTTTCAGCCAGGGGAAATCCTTCCCAATCAAAATCAAAAGGCCAAAGTCCTACCTTGCTAGGTTTAACTAGTATAGAACTAACACGTCAGTTTGGAAATCAGTATCTTATCTGTCTTCCAGAGACACTGAAAGAACAAACATCCTTTGTCCTGTTAAAAAGAACCTGGCAACCTGCTCTTTCCTATATAGACTGCAGAGGCCAAGAGCAAGCCCTTGGGAGAAATCAACCAGCCTCTATCCTGGGCTTCAGGGATAACATTGCAAGAACGAACTGCTCCCAAACTGCTCCATTTTGTTGTGCTTTCAAAATTCAGGCCTTCTTCATTCTTTAATGAGAGCTGTTGCCTGCAGATCAGACCTTTCCCCTCTGCTGCTGCAACAGAACAGTCCCTCCTAGCTCGAGGCACAGGCAGGGGGTGGGAGTGCTGGAGAAAACTAGGGAGAGATGGCCAAGAGTAATTCCTTTCTCCAACTCCCTCTGCACGAGGGGCCCAGTAAATAGTAAAAACACAGAACCACCAGCATTGACTGCATCTCCTTTCATTGTAGCTTTCCATCCACACAGAATGTATACGGATCTCAATGTTCCTAAAATAAAGCAAACTACATGGAGGCCAAAGGAAAGGGATTGAATGGAAGGTGGGGTGGGGGGACTCAGAACACGTAAGAAACAATTATGAGTCCCAACCACAACACGATGGGTCACACACCACAATACTACACCCATGTGGAGATGTGTATTTCTCTCTTTCAACAGCTTCCTCAGCACCATTTTTTTCCAAGCTACCAAAATATCCCAGCTAATGTTATCTACAATCTTTCAAAGGAAAATAACTGTATCCAGGGTCCGTTGAAAGGTGTTCCTTTTTCCTAGCAGGGAGAAGCAAGCTGAAAATCCATGAGGTTAATGCTACTATTCAGTTCCACATTTAAAAAACTGCTTGTATAGTTGCATTGTTCTTTTTAAAATGCTTTAAACCAGGGATCCATAACCCTCTGGCTCCGGCTCACTATCAGGCTTCTGCCTGTTCGGAACTGGATTGCAGAAGTGGTGGGTGAGTGTGCCTGCATGCACACACAGCTCCACTTGGACAAGCAGCAGGCGAGCGTGCGTGCCTGCAAAGCTCCATTTGTGCAAGCGGCAGACACACATGCCTGCCACTTACACAAATGGAGCTGCACAGGCACGCTTGCCTGCAATTTGCATGGAATCCTTCCCACCACCTCACCCCAGCCAGTCTGCATAGCCCGAAAAGTTGGGGACTGCTGCTCTAAACAGCCCAGAAAATAATTTTGGTAAATGCTAAAAAGGTACCTCAGGAGCATATACTGTAATTTATTTATTTGGTTGAATTGTTATTTTTTGTACAAGAGTTGAAAGCAGCATCCCTCTTTCTCTCTGTTCCCACAATAGCAACACTGTGAGGAAGTTGGGCTGAGAGAGTGTGACTGGTCTAAAGTCATCCGTAACCTTTGGTGGCTGAAAATAGCTTAAACCTGGGTCTTTTTATCATTTGACTAATGCTTTAACTACCATGCCACACTTTCTTCACATATGTCCTCTTTACGTATTAAACTGTTTACCATGGATAAACAGAGTGTCCAATGGCAGCTCATAGTTCCACAGGAGTCAAGTGTTGATATGATACATTATTTCTCTCTGTCCATTTTGTCTGTACAAAATAGAACTGGATAACTGGATAAGTTCTGCCAACTTCTTCACATGGGACTTAAACCTGCTGTCCAGAGGTAGGTAGTTTAAAGCTTTATATTATATTATATTTCTGAATTCCAATGAGCAACATTTTATCCAGATTCATTCATGCATGCATTTTTATTTCTTTTTCATTCTTTCT